CAGCCTTCTCTGGACTTGGCGAACCTAAATTAATTGTAAAAAGGAGAACAGGAGCACTTGTGGCACCTTAGAGACTAACAAATTTATTAGAGCATAAGCTTTCGTGGACTACAGCCCACTTCTTCGGATGCATATATGCATATAAAGCTTATGCTCTAATAAATTTGTTAGTCTCTAAGGTGCCACAAGTACTCCTGTTCTTCTTTTTACAATTAATTTAGGTTCGCCAAGTCCTGAGAAGACTGTGAGGAACTTCAAAGGGTCCTAACCAAGCTAGTTGAGTGGGCAACATGATGGTAGATTAAATTCAGTATTGATGTATACAAAATTAACATTTTCTGTCCTGTATGCATTAACTACTTGCACTTTATGTGGTTCTAAATTAACCATATCAACTCAGGAACGGTACCTGAGCATCACTGCAGACAGATCAATGAAAACCTCTGCTCAATGTGCAGCTGCAGTTGAAAAAGCAAACAAAATGTTATGATGCATACAGAATAGGAGGGGGAACAATATATAATGGCATTATAATCGTTCCTGTAATCAGTGGTACAGCCTCCTCTGGATACTGTATGTGTGGAACTGGCCACCCATCTCAAAAAGGGTGTTGCAGAACTAGACAGGGATCACAGACTGGCAGCATACGTTTAGGGTTATTTAAAAAACATGAAAAAAAATCTGGCACTGGCCATTGCTGGGGACAGGATGCTGAACTGGACGGGCCTCGCGTCTGATCCAGTCTGGCAATTCCTGTGCACCAATCTTAACATTTGTAAGAGAAAATCCTCAAATGAAAGCCCCTGTGAATATGCAAATTGTTATTAATGACGTATTTTGGGAAACCCTAATTTTTACTTCTAATTTGTATTTATTGCCTTCCAGGAGAAAGATATTCACTCAGGCTTGATTGGTCCAATCTTGATTTGTCAAAAGGGAACCCTCAGTACAAGTAACAGGCCAGTAGATACCCGAGAGTTTGTCCTGCTTTTTATGGTCTTTGATGAAGAGAGAAGCTGGTACTTCAATAAGCATTCCAAAAAGACTTACACTGAGAAGACCTCAGAAGTGCAAAAATACCATAAATTCCATGGTACTAATGTTTTCCTTTGTCAGTTATTCATGTTGGGAGGGAAGAGGAAGGCGTTAAAAAGACCTCAACCCAGCTTCTCTTGGTGCACTTGCAACTTTGTGCTCACACATCATTTGGATGAACCTTTTTTATTTTTTATTTTTAATATGCACTGTTCCTTGTGCATATAAAAATAGAATATGCATATAGACTAGAGCTGGTTGGAAAATGTTGACAAAAACAGAAAAAATGTTTTTTGTTAAAATTTTCCACAGAAAATTTTGACTTTTTGCCAAAAAAAAAATGAATTTTTCAGGTTTTGGACAGGAAGTTTTGGGCTGAAAACCATAATCTCCCTGGTTCTTCAGTTTTTCAACACAAGTTGAAGTTTTCCATGGAAAACAGAACCTTTTCTGTGAGAATTTCATTTAAAAAAATCAATTTTCCATCAAAAAGGAGTTTCAAGAGAATTTTCAGCCAGGCCTAGCACAGGCTCCATCTGTTGGTTTTTTTTGTTTTGTTTTTGTTTGTTTGTTTGTTTGTTTGTTTTTTAGCAAGAGAGCTGGTAGGGAAATTTCAACTGAAACAGTTTTCAATTGAATTGAAAATGCTGATCTGATTACACCAAAATTTTTGGCAAAATTGCATCAGTTTTAGTTAATTTCCCACAAAAATACATTTTTTGTGTTTCATAAAAATTGTGAAATTCTCCATGAAACAGAACATCCTGGTTTCAGCCAGCTCTAATTGGCACAGAAGGGAGTTTGTGCATAGGGGGTGGATTTTCAGATGTGCCTGGCACCCACAACAGAATCTGGCTTTTCAGAAGAGTCCAGTTCCCACTTAGGTACCAAAAGAAGTGGCCAGTTATTCCAAAGAGCTCAGAACTCAGCAGCTCCCCCCATTCACAACAATGAGAGCTGTTGGGTGATGCACACTTTTGAAAATCTGATCACTTCATTTAGGTGCCTAAATGGGAGACCTCTTTTGGAAACTTGGCCGGTTAGTACTACTATTTATGTGAATAAGTGATCGTACGCAAAAATGGAAGCCACGTTTTTAAAATGTGATCCTTAAAGTCAGGCACAAGTCAGATCTGTTGACATTAATAGAGTCTGTCTCATTATATTCAATCCCCCGTACTCTACAGCAAGCAGTGCTTAAATCCCGTGGCCTGGTCTCTGAATTCTCTGGCATTCAGGTGCAGCAGGCTGTGAATTCTGTGGCACTTCGATTTAAATTTGAAAAATGGAGTTTTTCTGAATTTAGTATGATAATGAATATTGCCATCAACACAGGAACCTCTGTTAGTTTGTTTTAATATTAATCCCCCAACCGAGGAGATGAGAGGCAGTTTGGGATTGGAATAAGCATATTCACTGGATGTTTCCACTAAAATGATCAGTAGTAAAATATTTAACAAAGTTGACATTTAAATCGTCACCTTTACATTTCAGAATCAATGCACTATTCATATGAAGTGGATAGGTCACACCTCTCAGAGCTATTGCTTTAGGCTGTTTGCAGTCTCAGGCAGACATTTGGGTATTGCGTAACACTTGATTGATGTTTTTGAGACTTTTTTTTTTCCCACGGCCAGCAGGGATCCTGGGGGATTTTCCCTTGAAATTTTCAGAGCTGCAACACCCACTTGATAATGACCCTTTAAAAGGAATCAACTTAATTTAGGCCCCCTCATATAGGCTTTATGAATCAAGCTGGCCTCATGTTCGACTTGTTCAAACAGATAAATTTCAACACTATCTACTTTTGACTGTTCAAGAGTTTCTGGGGTTTTTGTTCATTTTGTTTCTACCAGGAAGGTAGAAAGCATTCTTGCTTATTTGAATGACCATCAATTACACTTGCAATGACACTTAATTTATTAACTGAGAAGGTCATTATTATATGTTGACACTAGAGATTGGCATGGACCAGGACACCTGATCTGAAACTCTATAGGCTTTGGGGACATTTGGATCGAGATCCAATCTGTATCCTCTGGTCCAATTCTAGTTGATATCTTTATTGTCTCTCAGCTGGAGTGTTTGTAGTTTCTTTTATCCCTTGTAATATTTTTCTTTTCAGCCATTAATGGGATCATATATCACTTGCAAGGACTGAGGATGTATAAAGATGAACTGGTCCGATGGCACTTGTTGAATATGGGCGGGTCAAAAGATATTCACGTGGTTCACTTTCATGGTCAGACCTTCACAGAAGTCCCTGGGCATCAGCTTGGTGTCTATCCTCTCCTTCCAGGTACGTATCAGCTCAGTGGTCTTGTCATTTATACTCCTAATTATGAGGCTAAACCGTACACTTGGTAATGTTGGGGTGACTCTACTAAAATTCAGTGTCATTAGATCAGCAGAAGCAGAAAATGGTTTGGGCCCATTAAAATAGTGATGATCAAGTCTTGTGTTGCAAGGTACTAGCTGTTCATTTCCTGTAAGGTCGGAAAGGACTTCCCCAACCCCAGCATCATCTACCTCATTGAGTTGGGGAGGTGGGACTGGAGAGGAGGCCGCCCTCCTCTGAAATGTAAGTTACTGGGCAAGGTTGGAGATGGATGTGGAGTGCATGGACTGATGTCCTGATCCGGCATAGCAGGTTTGTATAGGGGAGGTGGGAGACAGTCTGCCACTGACCTGCTGTGTGAACATGGGCAAGTCCCTTCCCTGCTCTGTCCCTCAGTTTCCCCCATTTGCAAAAATGAGGAGCAGGGACCAGCATCAGCCCTTCAGAGTTACTGTTACCACAGCATGAATCTGTGTAAAAGGATTTATTTTTCTCCTCTCTATTTTAAAGGCTCATTTCGAACTATTGAAATGACCCCATCAAAAGCTGGCATGTGGCTTTTAGACACCGAAGTGGGGGAATATCAGCAAGCTGGAATGCAGGCCTCCTTTATCGTTGTAGAAAAAGGTACTGAATCTAATCATGATCATTCTAATATACAGGAGTCTAGTTACAAAGTTCTCTCTCCCTTTCAGGGCATGGGACAGTAATGGCGGAATAGAATCTGAATTGAGGAAATGGCTATATTATAAAGGGGGAGCTCATGGAGTGATTATAGTAAATTGAATTTTAAAAGAAGTGTTGTATAGCATTCAAAGTACTAACTTTACATTCGTTGATTCCCTAAAACCACCTATGAATTCTTAATTGAGGGAATTGAACGCAGAGATGATTTTGATCATCTGGGCATACAGAGCACTCTCTCTCTCTCTCTCTCTCTTTACTTTTTTTTTA